GGGGGGGGGGGGTAGGTAATTCTCCGTAGCTGAATTTTTTAGAGTTCTGTTGGCTACTCTTGCATCTAGCTCATCCAATGAAACTATTCATTTTCATGTTGACTGTTGTCTAACTTTCTGAACTACACTTGTATTATATGATTTTTGCAAGTTCGATAAGTAAATGTCTTAGTATTTTCACCCTTATTGTGTATAAAGCTGACATGGCAAACATTTGAGTCATAACATTACAACCTGGGTTATGGAGGTCAGTGATCATTAGAAGCATACGATTTCTCCTGTGCTGCAATCTGATATCCTAGGAACGATTTTGAAGTTGTAAATTTTGACCGAGAAAGTGTCATGATTTTTGTCTTGGATTGGAGTCGTCGAGTATATTTGGCACGGTTCAGTATCAACTCTTAGTTGGGGAAACCTCATAGTATCTCTAAGAGCAGAGTGCTTGAAAATTATGTTTGAGTTCAAGAAAGAAGATGATTACGATCAGTGAAACAGTTTAACACTTAATGCTTTCTTGTTGTGTGGGGCCATACTTATTTGTTATGTCATACTGTCATTACTTGTTAGGATTGGCTCGTCTTATAGTTCTTAAATGGATTCACAATATTTCCTATCTATGCATGCAGCTATTTCAACAGTGGTGACTGTTGCTGAAATTCTAAAAAATAATGGATTTGCTGTTGAGAAGAGTGAGGCTTCTCCTACTTGATTCCCTCTTTTTTAGTAGGCTTTTTGCATCCAGATCTGAACTTGGACAATGCACTTTCTGCAGAGATCAGGACACTTACTGTGGACATGAGGGATGAGCCAGGAGCACGGCCAATACCGAAAGCAAAGGTATATTTGAGACGCATTATATCTAGGTGTTAACGGATGCATTCTATACTTATTCAATGGTTCTTAAGTACTAAAGCTCATTATGTAAAACTGGTCAATCATTGTTGTGGAAATTTTACTCAATTTCAGAACTCAGATTCTCTCCAAGTACAAAAGAAAAAGAAACTCAGATCTTCTGTATAATGGTAGCATATACCTTGTTAAGTGTTAAAAGACGAGTCTGGTGCTGATAAGCTCATTTAGCTGTGTTTTTTCAGCTGAGATATCATGCCAACTTCGTTCTCAAACTCAAGAATGGTAGGGTATGGGTGGTTACGTTAACTTTCATGCTCACCAACTAGCCTGTGCATACCTGAACCTGACTGAATTGTTATATTTACTCTGCCTGCTTTCATATGTATTTTCGTTGTTTTGCTCATTGGGTTGTGCTTGCTGTGCTAATCCTTTCTGTTGAAAAAAAGTTGGTGATTTCTTCGAGCAGCAGTTGGAATTGAGAGAATATAGCATTTCAGCCAGTTTTCTTGCCACCTTTTCTAAGTTGTTATTCTTTAATTTATTAGACATCTTATATCTATGAAGCTTCATTTTTAATCATATGAAGTTTTCTCCAGCCTTAACCACCTCTTGGTTTTTCACCATCAATGTGGCAAAAGCATTTTCCTTTTAATGTTTCACTAGATATCTTTGGTTTTTCTTTCTGTAGATTGAAGTAGTGATGGGAAAGACAGAGAAGTTTGATGAGTTGATGGCTGCTGAAGCAGAGCAAAACGGCGACAACGAGGAGTAAAGCTGAAGCCCTCGGTTCTTTCGTAATGGTTTTAGTAATCCACGTAACTGCATTCTTGAATTCAGAAGAGATAAGAAGGTTAACTGTTCTTGGTACTTTTGGTCTATGATTGGATCTGTTGAGTTTAGTAGTTTACCCTCTACCGCATTCATAATTTGTAAAAAGAAAAAAATTGAATTTCATTAAATCGTGGATGTGTTAGCAAGCTGTGGCATTACATTTAGTAGCGCAAATTTAACAGAATATCAAGCAATTGATAAGATTTATCCATATGTTGCCAATGGAGTGTATAGATAGATATACAAGATGTTCAATATAATGTCTTGACTGATTACTAAAACCAAATTGATAAAAATTTCATAGCAAACCAAAATTGACTTATTGGTGACCGTATGTGCATCTGTTAATACTTAGAACGAACTTCAAGTAATCTGATTAATAATACTAGTACATCTCAATTTAACAATCCAACTAGGAACTCAGACCTTATTCATACCTAGTAGGTAGAGAGATTGTTTCTGATAGATCAACACAAGATGAAGATAAAGCAGTAGCACAAGCATTAGCAACAACAAAATAACAAGAAAACAAAGCAAAGGGACCATGGGCATACGTAGGATTTCTTGTAAGCGGTGTCGACTGATATTAGGCTATATAGACGATATTTACACCTTAATTATACCATGCTTTATTGTTGATTTATAGGCGAAATGATAACAAAATGCTCTAATTGGTGTTCTTTTGCTTCGCAGGGACTAATCCAAGTTAGGAAGAATTATGGAGTGTTTTGGAGTCAATAATGTGAAGAAAACGTCCAATCAAGAAGCACCCGAGCGGAAAGAAGCAAAAAATGGACTGGGGTGGAATCCACCGCGACCGCGACATGCAACTAATGCGAGGCAGAATGTTTGGCCCTCACCGCAGTCGCGGTGAACTGTGCAATTGCCAAGACTTTTGGAACCAAAGTGTAACTCGGGGAAAACTTATTCCAAACTCTTATAAACTCAAGAAGCTCGCCCAAGAAAGGATTAAGCTTGTTTTTAGAGTACTTTGGAGGCAAGAACAAGTGTGAGAAGATCAACCAAACATTAGAGTTTTTCTATCTCCTTTTATTTTTTGCAATTACACATTATGAACCATTTAGTAGTGTTATCTTGTTTTGTTATGAGTAGCTAATTCCCTAGTCTAGGGTTTTGATGGAACCTATTGAAGGATGAACTTCTTGTTATGTTAATATAGTTTGCCCAGCTTAATCTCTATTTATTCAACTACGTTCTTGTAGTAGTTAATTGATAGGATCCTCAATTAGCTGTGCCCATTTATTGTGCATAACTCGGGAGAAAGTGCATATTTAGGTAATTGTTGAACAACACACTCCCAAAGTATATGAAGGATCAATAACCGAGGGTTTAAAGGCGGGGTTAGGGATAATAAAGCCTTGAGTGCAATCTAAAGTGAGCTGTAATAAACAAAGCCAACTAGCATAACTCGGGAGAGTGCGTCTAGTAAATTGTCGTGATTACTCGGGAGAGATTTACGGTAATAAGAGTGCTCACGATTGATAGAGACGATTAGGTGAATCTATGTGAAACATAACCGGAAGGGATTTCATCAATAGGAGAAATCATAACCTTAGATCCTTCTCTTAATTGTTTACAACTTAATCATAGTCAGTCTTTGTTTACTTAATTGCAGTCATTCATAGTTAGTAGAAATATCCTCAATTGTTATTCATAACGTTTGAGAAGTTGATTACGTAGAATTTAGTGAGTCTAACAAGAGTAATTGATAGGTTAATTCCTTGTGGGTTCGACTCTGAGCGAAATACTCAGATTATATTTGCAACGTCCGCGTGTCCTTTTTTATAAGGCATAGTTGGGCGTGATCAAATTTTGGCACCGTTGCCGGGGAACTAACGGTGTTATCACTTACAATTGAAAGAAATACAAAAATTCTTAGTGTAGTCAGTTTTCTCTATACCCAATCTATACATTAAAATTTTAATGTTTGTTGACTTGGTTGTACAGGTGCATGCCTAGAAACTCATCGAGAACTGGTGAAGTGTTTGAAGCATCAGATCCCGAGAAAGTTTTCAAGGCCTTGAATCGGGCCAACCGGAAACACAAACAACAACAAACAACTGAACAATTCGAACCAGACATGGGGGACAACGTAGAAGACCCAGCTGCACCATTAGCGCTAGTGGCACCTCTTGTGCTAGAGGCTGCGCTATATGACTGGGCACAACCCACAACAGAGAATTTGGCCACAACGATTTTAGTCCTGCAGATACAGGCTGAATCGTTTCAAATCACGAACAACATGCTGTACTTGTTGCAAAACAAGGGACTATTTTCGGGGTCACAAATCGAAGATCCTCAACAGCACTTGAAGAATTTCCTGTTAATCTGCAAAACCCAAAGGCAACCCAACGTAACTCAAGAAGCAATAAAACTGTTATTGTTTTCATTCTCAGTGACAGGAGCTGCCCAGACTTGGCTAAACTCACTCCCCATTAATTCCATAAAGACTTGGGAGGAGTTAGTCAAGCAATTTGTGAACAAGTTTCATCCACCCAACAAAACTGCTCAACAAATTGATGAAATCTTGAGTTTCAAACAAAGACCAATAGAGACACTGCAAGAAAAATGGGAACGATTCAAAGGGATGTTGGTTATATGTACGCACCACGGTATTCCAGATCAGATGTTGGGGCAGCGGTTTTACATGGGTTTGGATGATGGTGTGAAGGGTAATGTAGATGCTTCAGCTGGTGGAGCATTTTTGAGCAAAACATGGAAAGAAAGCTAGAGTCTACTTGACAAGATGACAAAGAATTCGGGGTGGACAACCAGAAAAGCACCTATTACTCCAGTAGTTCACTCATTGCCCTTAGATCCATCCAATACTCTTGCTGAAAACATGGCCACGTTAATGACACAAATGAGTATACTCACCAAAAAGGTGGAAGAGTCAGGGCAGAAGCAGTAGGTACACATTGTAGATACTACCAATGGGGGCTTATGCACATCTTGCATTAGTCAGCCAATTTGTAACCAGTGGAATGCAGAAAGTGATCATCATCAGTACCCTGAGGACATGAATTATGTGTCTAATTATAGAGGCCAGAGACAGGGTGGTCAAAATTGGGGCCAACAAAATCAACCGTACAGGCCAGTCCAGCCACAGCTCAACAATGAAAACATGGGAGGTATGAGACCTCACAATAATATGGCGCCTTATCAAAGACAACAGAAAGATGGGTTTGCTAGACTCGAGGCAATGATGCAACAGGTTATTGGGTTGAATGCAAAAATCAATGAAAGAGTAGATGCACATGATTCAACTATTAATAATATTGAAGTGCAGATGGGCCAGATTTCAATGTCTTTAAATAATCGTCCTCATGGGACATTACCTGCAGGCACTCAAATAAATCCAATAGATCAAGGCCCGAAGCAGCTGCTGGCAGTAAGTCTACGTAATGGCAGAGACTTAGACTTTGAGCAAGAGAGGGCTCAAGAAATCAGACAGGCTGAGACACTTGTACCAGTGCCCATTGAACTAGATGAGTCAACGAAACTGATCGAGGTGACAGTACAGCCTGCCCAGGAAGAACATAACACACATATTGAGGCCGAGAGAGAAGCTGAGACAGCCCAGGAACCGATAGTTGAGGTGGTAGCTGACAAATAAAATACCCAAATCATTGGGAAGAAGAGACCCCCCGCACCATTCCCACAGAGGCTGGCCAAGTACCAAAAAGAGGAATAATACAAGAATTTCTTGGAGATGCTGAAATAAATCCAGGTAAATATTCCATTGATTGATGCTTTGAAGGAGATGCCTAGTTATGCAAAAATGATGAAGGACTTGATGTCCCGAAAGTTCGATTTCCAAGACTTGGCCACAGTGACTCTTACTCAAACTTGTAGTGCGGTGGTAACTAGAGCAATTGCGGAGAAGCTGTCTGACCCAGGGAGTTTTACAATTCCCTGCACTATTGGTAACTTTGCTTTCGCCAAAGCACTTTGTGATTTGGGGGCTAGCATAAATCTTATGCCCCTGGCGATCTACAAGAGGTTGGGGATAGGAAGAGCTAGACCCACTTCGATGTTGTTGCAGCTGGCTGACAGGACCATGAAAAGACCCTCTGGTATCTTGGATGATGTGTTGATTCAGGTAGGGAAATTTGTGTTCCCTGCAGATTTTGTGATTCTAGACTGCAAAGTGGATGAAGAGATTCCCATAATTTTGGGAAGGCCATTCTGGCCACTAGGAGAGCTCTCATTGATTGTGAGACTGGGGAGCTCAAGATGAGATTGAACGATGAAGAGATAACATTCAATGTGCAGAAATCTATGAGGCGACTAAGTGAATTCGCCAATTGTTCTCTTATTGATGTTGTGGATGTAATCGTAGAAGCTGATGATGAGATGCTGACTATTGAGGACCCTTTTGCTGCATGTCTGGTAAATTTAGATGAGGTGAATGGGGAAGAACTGGCAGAATGGGTGTTGGCTTTAGAGGGCAGAGGGTTCTGGGATAGAAATCTTGAATTTGAGCCCCTGCACTTAGAGAACAGAGAAACTCCTCTAGCCAAGCCTTCCATAGAAGAACCACCAAAGCTGGAATTGAAGCCACTACCCGCCCATCTCAGGTATGAGTTCCTCAGACCTAACGCCACATTACCTGTTATTACCTCATCTAGTTTGTTAGATGTGCAGACACAACAACTTTTGCAGGTACTCAAGGAGTATAAGAATGCCATTGGGTGGACCATGGCAGACCTTAAGGGGATTAGCCCAGCCTATTGTATGCATAAAATTCTGCTGGAAGAGGGACACAAACCTTCCAGGGAACACCAAAGAAGGCTGGACCCCAACATGAAGGAAGTAGTGAAGAAAGAAGTGATAAAATGGTTGGATGTAGGAATCATTTTCCCAATCTCTGACAGCAGCTGGGTTAGCCCGGTGCAATGTGTGCCTAAAAAGGGTGGCATGACGGTGGTCAAAAACGATAACAATGAGCTGATCTCTACAAGAGCCGTCACGGGCTGGAGAATTTGCATAGACTACAGGAAGTTAAATCTGGCCACCCGGAAAGACCACTTCCCACTTCCCTTCATTGATCAGATGCTAGATAGATTGATAGGGAGGTCTCACTTCTGTTTCCTGGATGGGTACTCAGGGTACAATCAAATCTTTATTGCACCAGAGGACAGAGAAAAGACCTCCTTCACCTGCCCATATGGCATTTATGCTTTTCGG